AAGGCAGTGGCAACTGATAGGAGAAGTTAGCCCTGGCTTCTGCTGAAGGAAGGTCTGCTTTGCCTCTGGGCACAGATAGCCCCTAACAAAAGGGCAGGTAGACGCTGATGATTCTGACACTTGCCCCACCATCTGTGCCCTGACTAAAGCCTGCACACCCCAAAAACTGGGCAGCTGTCTCCTTTCTCCCCAGCAGAGCCCTGGGCTTCTCACCCTCAAGAACTCCCACCCCATCTCCATCTTCCTAGATTCTAGCTGAAACCACACTTTCCAGGAAACAAGTAGCCAGGAAGGGGTCATTAGTGAGTGGATACACTGCCTGTGACAGAATGCACTGAGAGAGGTCCCCAAAAGGTCAATTGGAACTAGGGAATTAACCCCAAAAGGTCAATTGGAACTAGGGAAGATATGTGAGACATTTATGACAAATTGTTAATATCCTTAATATGAAAGACCACTTACAACTAAGAAAAAGGCAAATGCCCCTTCTTCCCAAAACTGGGCTAATTAAAAAGCCAATCAGGAAGAAATAAATAAATGCAAATAAGTAGTAACACTGAAATGCTACGAGTACCCTTTGAACCTAAGAAATTGCTAAAGATTTGCATGATTGCAGGATTATAAGAAAATAAGCCCTCCTACTCTGCTAACAGGAGATTAAAGTTTGTGCAGATTTGCAGGAGAGAAATTTGGGGAAAGCAGCAAAGCCTTAAATACATCTGTAAACTGACACAGCAATACCACTTCCAGTATTTACCGAAAGGAAAAAATTAAGTATGTGGGCAAAGAGTTAGTCACGAGAATATTTCTCACAGTATAATTTAAGCACTGGATATAAATATGAAAAATTTGATACAACCCAAATATTCATCAGTAGGGGATTGATTCATTGAATTATGGTGCATCCATATAATAGAATACTATGCAGACATTAAAAGGTATGTAGAATAATATTTACTGACATAGAAAACTGCCTCTGGTTTACTGTTGAGTGAAAATGTAAACATGTAAACATTTGAAAAAAAGATATCTGGGATGGGATTATCTCTAGAGAGGAAGACAGGGGTGGGTCTGGGGACTTCTGGTGGGAAGTTGGGTCCAGTAAGGTTCTATACTGGGTGGTATACATGGATGTTCCCATCATAATTTATTCATTACAACAGGGCTTCTCAGCCTTGGCACTATTAACATTAGGGGCTGGACAGCTACTCATGTGGGTCTTGTGGGGCTGTCCTGTGCACTGTGGGAGGCTTAGCAGCATCCCTGGCCTCTACCCACCAGATGACAGTAGCACCCCATTCCCCCACCCAGTGGTGACAACCCCAAATGTTTCCAGACATGGCCAAATGTGCCCTGAGGAACAAAATTGCCCCCAGATGAAACACGGTGTGAAAGCATACGTCTACATTTTATGTACTTTACTTGGATGTTAAATTTCACAACTAAAATTGCTTTTTAAAATAAGTGTGTGTGGGGTGGGAGGGGGAGAATCTTGGAGGAACTATGTCAAATTGTTAACAGATTAATTCAAAGTATCAGGATTTAGTACCATTTTTACTTTGCCTCATGCCTTTCTGTAAAATATCCTTTTCTATAAGGACTACATATTATGTTCACACACACACACACACAAAAACAGAAGGCATTTTCAATGCTTTACAGTCACTTTTAATGTTTAAAAAGCCAGATTAAGAGGGTCCAGAGCCCCTGCAGCCCATCTTCCCTGTACAGGTGAGTCACATGTACCCCTCAGGAGTGTTCCCACCTTCAGAGGCTTCTGGAAGATCCCCCAGGCTTCTGCACAGAGTCAAGAGATCCCCCCACCCCACCAGAAGACAGAAAGGAGGAGGCAAAGAGAGGAGGCATTGACTGGAAAGACATGGGGAGGAAGAGAGAGCAGGAAGGTACTATAATGACTCTTGAGTTCCTGGCTGGCAAGCCTGGGTGAAGCAGGGTAGAAACTCACCAAGCAGGCACATAGGAGGTCCAAGCTTCAGGGAAGTAAGGGGTCTGAGCTCCAGGAACACAGGGATCTGTTTTGTTCTTAGATGCATCCCCAGCACCTTCAACAGCACCAGGCACATAGTGGGTGCTCAATAAATATTTGTTCAATGAACTAAGTCAGTGAATGGAAGGACATTAATAATCATGAAAGGCTGGAAAATGGTGGAAGAGAGGTACAGATGAGTAAAAGCTATAGAAAATGAAGCATTCATTCACACAGATGCTCAAAAATCTACCCAGCGCAGAAACTCATGGTCATGTTAACTGATTACTTAATCAGTACAAGTACAAAAGAATAATAAGTATTCATTAATAGCCTTCACCCTGACACCCTGAAAGAGGGAAACCAAAAAGACACTCTCATAGTCCAGCCATCCAGGGCTCATAGTCTATTTCGGGAGGCATGTCCTGAAATTACACCCGAGCCTGGAATGGCTGGGGAACAACTGCAAGGCAAGTGGGGCCAGCCAGGCCCAGGCACTTCAGCTGCTGTGGAAGCCAAGCACACAGCGGTAGGCTGGCTTCTCTGCAAGCAGGCCACAGTCCCCTCTGTGCCATGAGGGGATGCAGCTCAAGGCTTCTACCCCTGACTGCATAGCTGAAACATCTGGAGATTCTTAAGAAACATCTCTATCTGGGACCCTCTATCAGAGATGTAGCTTCAAGAGAGGAGGGAAGGTGCAGATTGGCAGTGCTTGTTTTTAAAGCCTCCCCCATGTGATTCTGATGTGCAGCCAGGGTTGAGCACTCAGGCCTAGATGATCTGTAAATTCTGGGGTCTGATTCTAACAGCCTGTCTCTCTAACCATCAGCTGGGTCCTCAACTCCAGCATGAATACTTCCTGGGAGGGTAGAAAAGGCACATTAATTTCACCTTTTACTACATCTCACATCAGTCTCTCTCAAGCATGGTTCCAAAATGCTCTGTATCAGGTGGATGTTGAGTGCTGATTTCTTGGTTACTTAGCCCTGCTGGATCAGACCTCAGGAATCTGTCTTTCAAACACACTCTCCAGAGGATTTCTGGCATGGGAAAGCATGAGAACCACTGCCCCAGACTGCCTGAGGCTCCCAGGCACATCTTGAGGATGGCCAGAAAGCACACAAACACTACATAGTGCCTATTTGCACTCAGCACTGGGCATCCTGAAAAACAGCACAGGCCACTGCTCTCAAGGCATTACAGTGTCCTCAGTATGGAGCTGAGTACCACACACAGGCTGGCTAGGGGGAGAGCTAGCAAACCTGACAAGGTGTTGTGCATCCAGAGAGGAGAGACTAGTGAAGCCAGGGGAATCCTGGGTGCCTTCCTGGAGGAGGTAGCATTGCAGCAGGGCTTTGAAAGATGAACAGACTTTGAACACTTGGAGATGATACATTCTATTATATTTCTTTATTATATAGCTTTACTAGGGACTTGTCAGTGCAAATAAATAGTGAGGTATCATAAAGGGCAGGGAATGCAGAGATTGGGAGAAGACAGCCTCTGCATATGCTTGAGGTACCTGCACCAGGGCACCGGCCAAGAGGGACCTCAACACATTTGGTCACCCACCTCACTCAAGGGCAACTGTCCACTCTAAGTGCTCCCTGCCATGTCCACTGATGTGGACACATCATTTAACTTCCTCAGGTTTCCATTTCCTCATCTGCAGAATGGGGAGATTAGTAGCTGCCACAAGACTATTCCAGAAACAGGGAAAAAGAGCTGTGAACAGACCCAAAAGAATACCAAAGCATCCAAGAGACCTAGGCTACTAAGGCCCCCAGGATCCTCAGGGATCCCCTTTTCAGCTAGTCATGGCTCTGCAATTTCTATACAGTAATGGCTTATGAGGAATCTGATGGGTGGGGAGGGTCAGAGAAGTTGAATTTCATAGTGGGAAGCCAGGAATGTTTCCAATTAATGAAAATAGTCAAGTTTTCTAAAATGTTTGATTCACACTTTTAAGAGTAATAAAATGTAAATTATCCCATAATGAAGAATAAAAGCTTCATGGAGTTCTCACTTTGCCAAACTGTGCCTTCAATCTATGGTTCTTAGTATTTTGGGGTGTTTGGAGATCATGTGTCAGACCTAAAGAGCCCCTTTAGTGCCCCACTGGTTTCAAACCCCATGAAAACAGTAGCCACTTTTTCCTCTACATTTGACCATCTTTTGTGATGTCCGTACTTTTTAATTCCACAAAACCAGAGGATATGCCTCCTAGTAAGAGGGAAACCCTCTCTCCTTTCCTTATTTATCTTTCTTTGCAGAACTGGGGGCCTGACTCACAGCCATTGTTCCTTCTCTTAATTTGACAGATCCTTCCTCTTCCCTTTCCCCCTCCTGAGACACCTCCTCCAGTGGGAATGTCTGCCTTAAAGTTGGGGGTTAAGGATGCCTGATGAAAGGGGCAGTTTGAGTCCTCTGTTATCCAGAGAGAGAGAGATTCTCTCTTGTCTAAGCACCTCAATGTGCTTAGGCTGTTTGAATTTGGAAGAACATCCTTGTACCCCTAAACACTTCTTGTACCAAGGCTATATCCGTCCTCTTCTGTTCCTTTTCCTCCCCACCTAGACAAGGCAGATTCAAAATGGTCAGTGTTCCATAAAGACGGAGAATGAATGAATGAATGAATGAAAAAAACGACACAACTTTCAGAGTACACTGTCTACAAGCCCAATTTTTAAGTGATTCTGATTCCTTTCATTCTGCACCCACCTTGCAACCCACACTTTTACTCCCTCTGGGTGTCGGTCTTAGAAGAGGGATAACTGTTGACATGCTATGGCACTTAGTTTTCCAAAATTTCAGAACACTGTGGCATTTACTGCGCTGTTTCACCCTCCTCGCCCCTCTGGCAGAAGACATGGCTGAGATTTCTGTCCCGGCTGACAGGGAGAAACGGTGGCCTGGTCTAGGGTTAGTGCCAGAGCCGGGGCATAGACCCGGCCTGCCGCACGGGGAGGCTGGCGGTGCCCGCAGGCGGACGCGGCGACCACGGGGTTCTCACCTCGGAAAGTCAGGCTGGCGACCGGGTCGCTGCGCCGGTCCTTCTTCACACTGGGGAGGTTGCTGGCCCTCACCAGCAGGCAGCACAACATGGTTCGGCCGCCGTGGGCGCGCAGAGGGGCGCAGGCAGGACGCGAGCGGGAGCCGAAGGGGAGTACCGGGCTCAGGCACCCACCGAGGAAGCGCCCCTGGCTCCGCAGCAGCCGTGCCAAAGGGAACTGTCGCCCTCCCTGTGCCTCCGCGGAGAAGTCCCTACGCCGGGGAGAGGCTGCAGGGAGGGCATCGGACACCCGCTGGGCGGACCCTGGGTTCTGGCCCCTGCTTGGATCCGCCCTGCCTGTGGAGGGTGGGGCGGGGCAGGGGTCAGACGCGCGCCTGTGGGGGCGCTGGGCCCCCGTCCGCGGAATGGAAGAGCCGCCGACGCGGGATGCCCGGCTCGGCCAGGCAGCTGGGACACTGCACTCCGGCCCTGCTCGCGGGAGCCCCCGGTGCGCTCCAGCGCCGACCTCCCGCTCCGTTTTTTCGCTGCGCCCGGCCGGGCCGGCACGCCGGGGGCGCTGGGCGAGCGAACCGACGCGGAGGAGAAATGCCGGAGGCGGTGGAGCTGAAGGGCCGCGGCAGGAACGAGAGTGCGACCGCGGGAAGCTGCACCAGCGAGCGAGAGCTGGAGGCGGGGAGAGCGGAGCGGCGTGGTGAGCGCTGAGCCCTGAGCCCCCCGCCTCCGCGCCGCTCGCCTCGCGGCGGCCCGCCTGCCCGCAAGCCGCCCTCGGTGCCCAGGCAGCCGTTCTGACGTGCTGGGAGCCCAGCGCCCGGAGAGATTTCGCGGCTCGAACCCTCGCGAACCCGCCTCTGAGCCTTCTCTAGCGCAGTCCAGGGCGGCTGACTCTGGAGGCGGAGGTGTCTTCCCAAATCACACTAAGTTCGCTGGAGCACAGGGATCCACCCGCTGTCCATTCGGTCCTCTGCAGCATTCCCGACGGCGTCTCTAGGCCCCCTCGCCCTCACCGTGGGGGAACTTGCTTATAGGATGAAACTTGAACCGTGACAGCCTTTAGCACGCTTTCCCGTGTCATGTCTGGTTCCTTCCCAGCTGATGACCTTCTTGACCTCAGGAGCCCTAGCCTCTCACCTCTATACCCCTACACTCCAGCACCTAGCAGCGGACAGGGCTCTGTCCCTCCTCCCACCTCTCAAGTCCTCACTTACCTCCTACCTCACCTAAATTGGGTGACTGGTTATCATCATTCTGCTGCATAAAATCTCAGCTCCCTTTCCCCTCTCTTATTTTGAGGATCCAGCATTTTCATGTAAGCCATGACCTGGTGAAATCCCACTCTGCCTACTCCACCTCTGTACCGTAAGCACTAAAGGTGTTGGAGAATAACACAGCTGACCTGCCCACTGTCACTAACAATTCATGACCGCTAACTCAGGTGGACCCTGCTGCCGGGCAACCAGTCTTTTCAATCTCCCTCTCTCCTAGATGACCAAATCCCATGTTTCTCTCCCCAAACCTACAATACTGCACTGCCATTCTCACTCTCAGCTTCCTATTTACCAAGTAGAGAACTTACTGAGCCTCCTAGCCTCCTTAGCCCCATCAGCATCTGTGCCCAAATCCTTTGCCTTCTTTGCTGTTATGAATGAATCACCCATACTCCTACCTAAGACCAGCTGGGTACCTGGGCACGAAATTCACCCTATCTCACCCACTCAGTGACAAGTCTGGTGCTGTCCTCTCCCCAGCCTTTAAAGTTGCATTTTTTCTAGCTGGCTCGGGCCCTCTTCTTCCTGACTCCACCACTCTGCCCTGGTGGTAATGATAATGACCCCACCCACCCTCTCAGTGCAGTGGACTGCTGCCTCTCCAACACCCAGAACTCCTTCCTTCTTCATGGCAGAAGCTGACTGTTCAGGTATGACCCCTGCTCTGGCTCTGGGAGGATCCTGATTTATCTGAGCCTATCTCCTGACAATAACTCTTGGTCTAGCAATGAGCCGATGTCCCAAGTTGTTCTCCTGGAGGGATGGATTTACACCCTGTGAATACACAAGCCCAACTCCCTCTCCTGCTTCATGAGAATATGGACGCATGTAGATTTAATTGGCAGTCAGCTCTAGGATGTAGCAGACATCAAGAAGAGAGGAAAATTGAGGTCTCCTTGGGTTCGGGTTCCCTGGAGCTGTACACTGTATATGCCCAGAGCCCACCATGTCCCTGGATCAAAGTCTCTGAATCATACTGGGGCTTAGTACTCAAAACAGGTTCTCCCCAAAAGGGCTTGTACCAGGAATGAAGATCACTTTAGGGCTATTTATTATTAAAGCCTATTCGAGGCAGGATTCCACTTACTTGCAGCCTAAATCATCCTCACTGGCACCCACTGACTTTGGCACCCACACATCCATAAGCCTCTACAGAGGCATTTCCACCATACTACCTCCTATCTGGTCACCTCTGGGCCACCGTCCACACTGGGGCCAGGCAATCTTAAAACAAATATGATCAGGGCTCTCCTCTGGTGAAAGCCCCTCAAAGGCCTCTGTGCTTTTGGGATGAAGTCCAGATCCCTTACTCCCCACCACAGGGAAAGGCTGCTCAGCCCCTCACTCTGAGTTCCAGCTCCAGTGGCTTCTCAGCTTCTGGAACATGCTGAGCTCCCTCCCATCTTGCAGCTCTGCTGTCCCTTCTGCCTGCACATGCCTTTGCAAGGCCACCTCCATTCTCCCCTCAGGCCTCAGCTGACACATCATTCCCTCCAAAAGCAGTTTCTGACCTCCCCATCTAGGCTGGGTATTTCTGGCAAACTACACAGAGGCATTTTTCCTTTCTAGCACTCACCACAGTTGTAAGGATTAACTATCTGTGCCATTTCTTGTTTGATGTTTACCTAGACTGTGGAGTCAGTCAACATGGGAGAGACCAAGGCTGTCTCAGTCAGCCAGGTGTTCCCAGTACATAGAAAGGGCTGGCCTGTGGCTGGTGTGGTGGACACTGTAATTGGCTCCCCAGTATCCCTTCCACCCTGCAGTGAGGCTGTCAGTAGTTCTCAAAGAGGACAGTACTGCCCCCTAGGGGTAATTTTGGATATGATGATTTTTTTTCTCTTATCACAATGATTCCTGGCTTTACTCCTTTCCCCCAGCACACCTCACCCCACCACCTACTCCTGCTCTAATCCATTTGAGACAGCACAGAAAATCTGTAGGGGGCATATGTAATACTTCCAGAGGAATATTCCAAGACACCTTTATAAACACTTGACTTGTGTCCAAGAAACAGGAGCTCCACAGACCTGTTCTATAAACCAGAAAAGCAGCAGCTGTGGCCTAAGCCCTGGAAACTCCTGAGGCCCCTTTCCCACCCTGACCTCCAGCTCCGCAGCCCAGCTGCTGCTCACTGCCCAGGACTTCTCCCTGATCAGATAGCTGACCATTCCCTTGGAGGCATCATACTGGGACCTAGTATTCAAAGGGACTTCCTCCCAAGGGGTCTTGTATCAGGAATGCAGCTGTCATGGAGAGTGTGCTGAGACTTCAGCCTGTCCCCTTCCTGTATGTCCTCCCCTTCTTCTGTAGAAATTTTCCATAGTTTTACCTGGACATATGGCCACCCAAATAGAAAGACTATATTTCCAGCTTCCTTTGCAGCTAGCTGTGGCCATGAAAATAAGAGATGCCCAACAGGATGTGAGCAGAAGGGATGTATGTAACTGTGTGGCTGTGTCTGTCAAGAGAGAGGCAGGCTGTCCCATGCTGCTGGGATGGAGAGTGTTGATCATCCATATTGTCGTGGGACTCCAGGGATAGCAGAGCAACAAGACAGAAGGATCTGGGGTCCCAGACAGCCTTGTGGGTCATAATTTTACCAGCCAGGGCTCACACATCAACTATTGTGTGAATGTGGAAAACTATCATGTTCATATCTCCATTACTTAGGGCTCACTTACAACCAGGTCTGCATCTCACTTGAAACCACAGGTAAGGGGAGCTTCTCGGCACTACCAACTACTCCAGTCCCACTATGAAGGTGACAAGACCTGCTTAGCAGTCACTGCTGGGTAGCAATAGGGTGAGGGGACCTGTTTTGAAGCTGAGTTTGGATAGCAAGCCCAGTTTTTACTTAAGATGTCATGTTTACCATGATGGCATCTCAGGGCTGACCAAGGTAAGGGGATGATACTAAGCTCTCTCCCTTTTCCCAATGGCCCCATCAGTGTAGTCATGGTAAGTATTGGCTGATAATCCCAAGGGAGAGGGGAATGATCTGTTCTCTGGGAAGCCCAAGACCAAGGTCCCCAAGATTAAATGAAATACCACATCAGATGCTGTCACTGGTGTCCCCCAGGGACACAACCAGCCTATTTTTCCTGTTTTCTTTGACCAACACAATGTTCGTAAGAAAATTATATGCTAATTAAATATTAAATGATTTCCCATACAAATCTGGATTTACAGCTTCTCTTGAAAAATCAGAGACCCAGATTCTCTACCTAACACTGATTATCTGACACCATGGGCGGGGGTGTGCACCCCAGGCTCATCCTACTCACCACCACTCACCCCATATGCATGTGCTTTTCCTTCTGGCCACATCTTAGTTATACCACCCACCAGGCTCCTACACGCAACTGAGTTGGTGACCCCAGTCCTCTTCTGTCACCTATTTGGGTTCTTACCTCCCTGCCAGTCAAGGAAGTGATGCTTCTAATGGGGCCTCTTCTTGCTGTTGGAGTTGGGCTTGCTGGCTGCCTCTGGCTCAGCACTCTGAATTTTTTTCCCAAAGCCTGACATGGGGTGTCCAGGAAGCAAACAAACCTTGCCCCACTACTTAATGACATCATCTTTGGGAAGAACACCCTGCATGGGAGTTTACAGAATTTCTTCCAGGCACATTTGCCAAAGTCCAAAATCTTCAAGAGTAGGGACAGTCCAATGCATCCCTCTGGCCTCTCCCTTCACAGTCACTCAAACATGTGCATCCCATGGGTATCCCAACCAACCAGCTGGGATTGAGGGGCACCTGTGTGTCTACCAAGGATGCAGAAGCACAGACAGTAGGGACTCTGGCTACAGCCATCGTTACATAACTGCCCGGGAAGAACCGTCCTGTAGTGAGAACAACCAGACGGTCCCAGGCTTCCATCCCAGTCCACACTTCTCTAGCTCTGGGACTTGAAACATGTGAGTTGACCTTTCAGAGTCTGTTTCCGCTTCTGTGAAATCAAGAGAATGATATTTCACAGAGGTGCTGGAAGTGTGAAACACAGTGGGTGTTAGAGAGATGTTAGCGCTCTTCCTGCTAATATTTCATTCTGATGAACCACTTTGCATAGAGGTAGTAGAGAAAGACAGTGAGTGTGGCCTGGGGAAAGGGACTAAGGAGATTTGTGGGGTCCAGGAGTCACCGGGGATATTTGTTCCAAGAAAGATCCAGCACCATGAGGCCATGGTCAGCCATCAAGCACATAGACAAATGCCTTCAGCTCAGAAGGGGCTGATGCAGGAAGAACAGCCAGAGGAGACAGAACCAGGGTCCCCTGGGACAGAGGGAACAGCTTGGACATATGACCACCCAAATAGCCATATGTGGTGACTTGACCAGTCAGCCCATTGTGTCCAGTCTGGTAGGTCAGTAGATGAATAAACAGAGCTAAAAATAGGAAAGGTAGTGAGAGACTTCTTGGATGTGTACAGTGATTTCTTAGTATGTATGCAATACATGTTAACAATAACTGTAATATATGCATAATCATGTA